GACACATATTTAACTAATAAGACAAGCTTCTACCCGGTTAAGGCGAATCGAAGCGGTGCTGCCAACGCCGAGTATTGCCGAACTGCCGAAGATTCACGAATTTCAATAATATGCAGGGAGGATCAATGATCCACCGTGGCGATCCTGCTGTGAATGTGTATCAGTCAACTGGTCCCATTTAAGCCTATGTGTCTAGTAGCCTACTGGTCCTGTCTGTATAATTTTACTTCTGTTGTTTTGGAGCTCGAGCCCCCATAGTAATTTTGAAGTTCCGGCGCCTATGGCTGTATGGACTATTGTCAGAATAGAAGGTATCTGGTTCACCAAATCTAAAAAAGACAACCTCCGGTTTTTTTATAATTTCTGCTGATTTATTCGAAATAATCTATTCCAATCCATTTAGAAGACGCGTATTCTGATATGTTACAAAATAATTTTGATTTTTAAACCGGAATATATCACTAGATACATTTTGGCAAGGTCTTTCAGACAATGGATGGTTTACGATTAACGTTTTCTTCTGATTATTGGGCCTGGTTAAATGACAAATCTCAATGTATGTTGGAATATAATTGCACATACTAGGCCAATGCAAAGCTTGTCTAGCTCTTAATCGGCATTTTTTGATCCCCAGATGCCCTTCATGTAGTTATTAACTTCACCATATCTTCTATTAAAGAAAAAGTAACAATTAATTTATTACCAAAAAACAATAATTCAAAACTGGAATTTCATCTTTTATTTTGAAGTAATTTTTGAAGGCCGAATCAAGTTTTTTTTTAAATTCTGGCCAGTTTTCTTTAGGAAATCTAAAAATATTTGATAAAAATTAATCTGTTTTGTTGCATTTAGAAAAAGCAATTCGTTTTTCATGCGAAATTGGAAATTTTTTAGAAATTAAATACGAATTCTATTTCAGGATTATCTTCAACATCTGCCACAAACATGTATTTTCCAGAGAGATACACAGCTTCCAGATTATATTTCAATAATTTCACAACATACACACACACAACATTGTAGCCGAGTTGACACCGAATTTCAATCTTTAATACATATTAAAATACGACTAATAAATTATTCGTACCTGTTCTTGTCATGCAGAAAATATTTTAACGTGTTTTCCTCACATAAATTTTTAATTGTAACTATCTCTTTTTTTGTTTTTGTTATTACCATGCATTGTTCTATTCCGTTCATAAAGTCTATAGACTTTTTCGAGTGCGTGATCTGAGATTTTGGACGCTGAACGCTGATTGACTAGATTTTGGGGCCTCACTAGGGGCTTAGGTTAATCGTTTAAATTGAGCGCTGGTCGCCCAAGTCGACCCCTTAATTTTGCCCAATCAGCGTCCAAAATCTTTTACCAGGCACTCGAAAAAGTCTATAGACTTTATGAACGGACGTTAACTACTGTGCTTTGATTGTTGTATGGTCAGTTGATAGATCATCACTCTAATCATCACTTTAATGACTGATTAAGACTTAACTGTCGAAACGTTTGAAAAATAAATTTTGCATCATATATAATTTTTAATTTTACGAACCACTATTTCCCAAGAAAAAAAAATCAGAATATATCTATGGTTCAAGAACTTCATAAAGAAGTATAATATAGATATATGCCATATACCTATACATACCTATGTATATTATAAATACCTACACTGATCAAAACGAAAAAGGAGCCACTTCAGTAATTCAATAAAATTTCTTTATTGCACTGAAAAGAAAAATGTCTGTTTGCCCAGCAGACACGCAGTTCCACATGAAATCAAAAAGGATGTTTTCATCACGGTTTGTTTACTTATTCGATAAATTTTTTTGTAAATTTGGTCTCCCATAAGCTTTGTTCCAACAGCGTAGCAAACCGTACAATGTACCGTCGCGATTCTGCGCAAATCCTACAATTTGTGCGTAAAATCCGAAATTCGTATACAGAGTGGCTTCCAAACCGTTCGTGGGATGATTTTTGACGTGTTGGAACAGACCTATATTTAAATAAAAAGATAAAATAATAATGTCGCTAAAAACTACGAACATATTCAGCAGTGGCTCCTTTTCTATCAAGCGCCGTTTGGGCCAAAAATAAATATATATATATATTATGTATTTTCAAATAGCTTGATAGTTTTACGGCTGTCTAATATTAAATGAAAAATTGAAGTTTATAGGGTTGCAGCCAAGTGAATTCTTTTACAGTTTCTAAGGCACCAATAAGAGTCTCTTTTTACTTTTGAAAGCTTTCGGTAACTTTTATTACCTTCGTCAGTCACTACAAAATAGTTGTTACATAACTAATATAATAAGTTAATAAATTAAAAATTAAAAAACTTACAGTAATTGAGGTTTTTTGTCAATTGCTTACTCTCTGCTTTGAATAGGAAAATATTGGATATAATATTGATATAAAAAGATGTAAAAAGACTAAAAAATATAATAATATAAAAAAAAAAAAAAATTGTCAATCAAAAAAATCAAATTTGAAATCATTTTACATACATTATCTTTATATTTTTTAGTCTTTTTACATCTTTTTATATCAATATTATATCCAATATTTTCCTATTCAAAGCAGAGAGTAAGCAAGTTACAAAAAACCTCAATTACTGTAAGTTTTTTAATTTTTAATTTATTAACTTATTATATTAGTTATGTAACAACTATTTTGTAGTGACTGACGAAGGTAATAAAAGTTACCGAAAGCTTTCAAAAGTAAAAAGAGACTCTTATTGATGCCTTAGAAACTGTAAAAGAATTCAAAACTTGGCTGCAACCCTATAAACTTCAATTTTTTATTTTCAAATATATACATAAATTTTTGTAATATATACCTTTTTGTTTAGATATATATGTATTTTTTTGAGATATAGGTAAACTTGAGATATAGAAGGTGCTAATGATATATTTATTTTTTGAAATATATGTAATCTTGAGAAATGGAAAGAGTAGTTCACAAATCTACCGCAAGAGGGCAGTGTCGTTTGCGGAATACTACAGTGACTCTATTACCACAGTGGCGATAATTGTTGTCTTCTTTTTGATTGGTTCTTTAAAATCCTATATATTTATATGGAAAACGCCGCCATTTTGTGCCCAACCTCTTGTTACTTTTAAATATGAATACCTATATAGAATTTAAATGGACATCCATCATACAAAATTGAAAACAACGTATTCGATGACTTCAATTAGGCACATCAAATACGTTGTTTCCAATTTTTCATGATGGATGCCATTTAATTTATATTTAAAAGTAGCAAGAGGTTGGGCACAAAATGGCGGTGGGACCTCTATTGTCACCCCTGTATGTAAAGGTTTATTTAGCCACTGTACGGAATACATGTGGCAACATTGTACAATATCTGGTGAAAGTGCGCATAGTTATACATAGGTATGGTGTTCTAGGGATGTCCAGGATCTATTCAATCCACAGTTGAATCGATTTTTTCAAGCGATGCATCGGTGATATATATAGAATCGATTTAGCAGACTTAGCAGTAGAGAATTGATTCGGTGAATCGATTCATCTCATCCAATTTTTTATTGTAGGCGCCATCTATGAGAACTCAGAAAAACTAGGATAAACAAATAAAAAAGTCTGTATTTAGGGTTTTTCGTTTCGTTATGCATATAGCTGTTTCTTTTATGTGCATATAAAGAAAGAAAGGAGAACTATTGATGATTATAAACTTCTGGGAGCAATATGGCGACAGTGTTGACATTATAATTTATTAGTTTATTAGATGTTATTAGTAACTAACTAAACGAGAACAGTGTAATCAAATTCTTAATTATAACCCCAAAAATTGAATACATATTTAATTTGATTTAATGATTTAGCGCTCAAACAAATAACGAACACTTTATACAATATGCGCACTTTCACCAGATATTGTACAATGTTGCCCTATGTATTCCGTACAGTGGCTAAATAAACCTTTACATACAGTGGCGACAATAGAGGTCCCGCCGCCATTTTGTGCCCAACCACTTGCTACTTTTAAATATGAATATATAGGATTTAAATGGACATCCATCATAAAAAATTGGAAACGACGTATTTGATGCGCCTTATTATAGTCATCAGATACGTTGTTTTCAATTTTGTATGATGGATGTCCATTTAAATTCTATATATTGATATTTAAAAGTAACAAGAGATTGGACACAAAATGGCGGCGTTTTCCATATGAATATATAGGATTTCAAAGAACCAATCAAAAAGAAGACAGCAATTGTCGCCACTGTGGTAATAGAGTAACTGTAGTATTCCGCAAACGAGACCGCCGTCTTGCGGTAGATTTGTGAACTACTTTTTCCATTTCTCAAGATTACATATCAAACACTTTTATATATTTCAAAAAAAATATATATCATTAGCACCTTCATATATCGTCGGTTATCTGACAAATGGGCGTAAGTACCATAAGCATTATTTGACAGGAAAGCAGTTTACAGAAAATGTACCATATACATGGTTCCGTGCTTGTGTTAATTGAAAAGCAGTTTCAGTGATAATATTTTATTTAGACAGCTAAATACACATACTTTTTCCAAATACTATTCGAATTCAAGAAATTTCAGGCGAACATGATGAAATATGAATTAGATGGACATATCTACGTCTTTTCGAAAGATCTGAATATTAATATTGTTATCTTACTTATGCCTATAGTAATGCACTTAACAAAACATTAGTAACAATCTGTGGTAAAGAACAAAAAGAAAATCCCACTCTATAAACGAAACACAAACAAAAGTTAACATTAAAAAAAATCGGTTAATCCGTATAAATCACAAGAAATATTTATTTGCTGGGAGTTTTATCTGGCCACGGTTTGATTTGGATATAGGTTTTTGGAGCACATCAGGTGGTAGTCTTTGTAGTGGCAGTTTCTGATATTCAGCATCATGGTGACTTTTTTCAATATTGATAACAGTGACGTCATCTTGGTTTACCATTACTTCCTTAGTTTTTGTCTAGTCAACATTTCCACCAGAGTCCAGTTTTCTAGTCACGCGAAGGCGGATTTTTTCAGCCAATGATTTATAATCAAGTAATTCTTCGGTGGTCATTTCAAAAACCGTGTACGGAAAATTTCTTCTAGCGAGTCTAAGTTTAACTGAACTGTGCTGGTATATAATTATTTCCGGCAGACCGAATTGCTGTTGCGATAGAACTGTGGGCGGAATCCCCTTCATTTTGCCCATGATTTGTTTGGAAAAAGGATAATACAATTTCACGTATGTTTTTTGAATTTGCGACTATTTGTAGTAACATGGTGAAAACGATTGTATTTTTGTTCTGGCCATCACAACCATCTGCGAAGAGCCTTACTTCTTTTATTCCTTGGTTGTCCAGTTGTTTAAATATCTGCCAACCATGTAGACATTTCATCGGCACCGCTTTTACTCATAACTTCCGACCAAGAGAAACAGTAGCACTCTCTATTGCCTATATTGTGAATACTGAAGGTAAATACCGACAAACGACGACGATAAGACAATGCATTTTCTTTACTTATAGGTAACTGAATAACTTGTTGCATGTCAAAAACAGTAGCAGCTATTAAATCTGGGTTGTTCTTGAACATTTCCTTAGCATCCCCCTTCTTTTTACACAGTGTTTTTCTCGGCGACATTTGCAGTGTATGCATCTTGAAGCTCTAATTTTTTATTTGCATCACCTTCCCTGTACGACAAACAAAGACTGATTGGTCCTTCCTGGAATGGTGGAAGGACAGATTCAGTGATTCAAATACTCTAGGGTAGGTATGGTTGCTTCATTTTGGCTGCTCCAGGCTCTCTTCTTGGTACAAGTTAAACATTTGCTTCACGTTTAAGTCTAAGTAAATATTCTTTTGAAGTTGATTTTCTACAAAAGAGCGACTCCGTTTTTGGGAACTTTTGTATGTGAGCCAGAGCTGAGGCTCTCATAAATTGGTCTTTTTGTTTCAAGTTTGCATAATGCAACGCCCTACACGTTTATCGAACAGAACTATGCCTTCCAACATTCTCTTGCTTATTGCCGTCCGAACTGCTTTTTCGGAAACTGCCAGTGAACATTCTGAAACGTAGGTAATTTTAAAAACTGGTAATGATCCTCTGCCTTTTTTAAGCAATATGCCAAAGTTCTTGTTCTTATGGACTCTAATTAGGTAACGGCCCAATTAAGGACCGATTGAGAAGTGTTTTCTCTGTGCAGGACCATCCGTGGACGCGTTTCGCTGTATCACAGCTCATCAGCACGGTTAGGTCCCGCAGAAAGAAAACACAACCCATTTTTGGTTCCATCCCGGAACTGGGTTTGATACAAGTAAGATGAAGACAGAGTTTCCATCTATTTTCTGATCGGCACACTAAAAATTGCAACCAACAACTGTATAAAACTAGTATTAAATTGGAGCAAATCAACTCGCAAAGGCATTCGCCACAATTGCGAGAATAGCTATTCTAGTCGCCAACCAGAAGTGAATACGGTTGAGACCGAAAACATTGTTTTTAATTAGGTAACGGCCCAATTAGGGACCGATTGAGAAGTGTTTTCTCTCTGCAGGACCATCCGTGGACGCGTTTCGCTGTATCACAGCTCATCAGCACGGTTAGGTCCCGCAGAGAGAAAACACAACCCAATGTTACTTGAAAAATATCGTAAATGGAGCTATAGTTTATAGATACTTCCCCACTTGCTTATATCCTGAGCACAACAAGGAATTCATTTTTTTTTGTGCCATTAGATGATTAGTCCAGTCATTGGGAATTTTTACCTGAAAATAACTCGGGAATTTTGGAAATTTTGCAGGATTTCGGTTTGGATGTGTAGAACTGAAATTCACAAAATGCACAATGCGAGACTTGCCTCCGCCATCTTGCCAAGATGGCAGTCAAAAACGGTTATTCGCAATTCTCGCCAAAATTATGCGTTTTTCAAAAAAAATTGTAGAAGACGAAATTAGAGAGGAGGAAATTTCACAAAAAAAATGTACCCTCTTAACAAATTTGTTACCCGTTTAGGCGGAAAAGTTGTCGTAAAGTCTAATGCGTCAGTTTTATACAGAGGCAATTTTCCGATAAACGATGTAGTAGGGTTCCTTAAAACTACTTTTTGAAGGCTTTATAAAATTATGTTACGAAACAGTAGCATATCTTTTATAAAATTATTTGACTAATCAATTAATTCATCAATTAACTCATGTTAATAATCCACGATCAATATAAGTGCAAGACCAATTGTGGAAGAACCTACGGATGCAGAAAAGCAAGATTAAAATGCTCCATCATTTGCGGTGTCTGCAACGGAAAGACTCACTTTAGTGACGCTGGACGAATTTTTGAATTTTATGAAGATGACTTGAGCTTGCCGCTCGATATTTTTTTGTCGACTGAAGAAGGAGAATTCGAAGAATTAATCAATAAAACCGACATTCATCCCGAAATAGAGACAAACATATTCACCTGTGAAATGGTGAAAATATCGGTATTAACGAACCATGTCCGGAAACAAGTACAGCATTTTATATTTATTGAAATTAATTGATCATGAATTAATAACATGAGTTAATTGACAAATTGAATGATTAATCAAATAATTGGATGAAAGATACGCTACTGTTTCATGACAAAATTGTATAAAGCCTTTAAAAAAGTAGTTTTGTCTCACTATGTGTTTTTTAACTTTTATATCAATGTGACTCACTGTCCACCTGGCAAAGTTTGTACCTGCCATATATTCGAAAGTCGAATTAGAATTTGTAATTTTCGATATTCAATATTAAAAAGATCATCTCCTTTCTTTCAGGAAGCACTGAAGATGTCGTAACGCCGAAAGCGCCCTGCTATTGGAAAAGGAAATCTATGCAAATTTATACAAACCTCTTTTTTTCTGGAAAATACTGGTAGGTAATTCAAATCTTTTACGTATAACTACCCAAAAGACAAATGCAAAGCGTTTACATGTTAAAAGTGATTCTTAACTAGCGTAGATCTTGCCAATGGTTCAATAAATTCGAAGTATCGTATAAGTACTATTGATACGTCAAAATGACGAAATTATAATTTAGGATTGGAATAATTCGTATTGGAAAAGGAATAGAGGCAAAATTAGGTTACGTGTTGATTGGTGTTGCATTTCATAGTTTTATAAAACAAAACGGCAGGTAGGTACCTATATTGAACAAGTCAAATTGAATAGACTCAAATAGTTTTACACCTGCGAACTTTCAAGTGCAAACAAAAGGGTCTACTTGATTGGTCCGAAAGTCGAATAGTTCCGGATATATTTCCAGTAAATAGAAATTCACCGATTCACCGATAAAAAATTTGAAATTCAGGAAAACTCAAAATCTTCTCCGTATTTAAATTTTCAATGCAAAAGTGAAAACTGGATGACAACTAGGAAGTTGACAAGTTTCAATATGGCTTTTAATATGGCTAGATGAGTTAAGAATGTATCCGAGCATTTTCTATTTGAATTTTCAAAGATTTCTAGTCAGTCTAATCAGAAAAATTAGAGATTAAAGAAATATAACTGTGATCATTTCGTGTCCTTGTAAAGATATGTTTTACTTTCGTGGGTTAGAGGAGAGGACCAAAAAAAGAAACTATCAAGCTTTCGGCAACCTTTCGGAATATATTTTTCTTTTGTCAAGCCTTGGAAAATGGAAATACAAGCACTTAGTACAACAATGAATATACCATTGTGAATTAATTACACTTTTTAGGCGAAAAAAAATAAAATAAATAAAATAAATTGTTTCTTTCAGTACCTACTTAAACTATTGCTTCTGGAGTCTGTTCAGGATGGACAAAGGCACTTGTCAACATATTATTTTAGGGAAAGCAATCAATTTTTTGATAAAATTCGTTATTTTGAATTTGAAAATATAGCTAACTGATTTTCACATCTGATTTTGTGAGGCTATATTAGTAGTAGTGATGGGCTAATTAAACATTTTGACCATCGAAATTTATTTTAGTGATGGGTGATGATTGATGAGACTCCTGAACAGAAACCATTTGATAGGGAACGTTTACAAATTATTTTAAAGTTAAGATAGAAATTGTTAATTCGTTTCAGAACGAAAATTTTGTCATAATAATTAACCTTCGTCTTCCTACGTCAAAAAACATTACGTAGATTCTCACGTGGGGTACATACGCACCCCAAGGTAAAAATGATACTTCTGATAATTAAACATGATTTTATTTATACTAAACAGTTATAATAGATAAAATCAACCTACAGAGTACAGTTAGCGAGAAAAAAATAGTTAGGAAATGGTATTTGCGACCAATGCGTACCATCTTTCGATTTATAAATCATTTTCCCGCTTTCTACTTAATGTGATTTCTAAATTTTGCAGGTTGCAAATCTATTTCCAACCTGCAAATTTCCTGCAAGGTGACTACTTGATAGAGTAGCCACAGATTCCCACGTGGGGTACGTCATTGGGTACATGTGCCCCACTCTATCCAATAATTATTATTTCTAAAAAATAAATAAATAGAAAATTTTTGTTGATCACTAATTATGTACAGGGTCTGTTCCTCATAATTAGTGCGGCACCTACAACTTAAACAAAAGAAAATACAAAAAAAAGTTTAATATAAAAGTTGTAGGGTCTTATGTCTATTATGTTTTTCACATGTCAAAATAGGCAAATGACAGGTGCCAACTGTCATAATGACAGCACTTGTATTTTTTTAAATAGAACACCCTGTATATTTTTGGCTAGAATAATAGATTTTTTTCTTCTGATTCCAAATATACCATATATGTTGATATTTGGTTCAGCTGTTTTCGCGCATTTCATTTCACAATTGCATTGAGCAAGCCTCATCATTGATATTAGAAACCGGGAACAGACCTAATTTAGGGTAGGTAATGTAAATGCATTTTTAAACTTGAATAGCGTAAAAACTGCTGAACCAAATATCAACATATATGATATATTTGAAATCAGAAGAAAAAAATCTATCATCTTAGCTAAAAATATACAGGATGTTCCATTTGAAAAAATGCAAGGCTGTCATTATGACAGTTGGCACCTGTAATTTGCCCATTTTGTCATGGACGAAAGATAATAGAGATAAAACCCTACAACTTTTGTATTTACCTTTTTTTTTTTTTTTTTTGTTTAAGTTGGAGGAGCCGCACTAATTATAAGGAACAGACCCTGTACAAAGCCCTTACTGACACAAAA